TAAGTTTTTCAGTTTATCCAGACAATTTTGATTCATTAGAGGAATGTTGTGCTTATGGCCTCAGTTATGCTGACAAATATGGGAAAAGTAAGGTGAAGGACAACCAAGAATTCAGCACATGATTCCAAACAAAGATAATCTAATGGCAATGGCTCCTTTTTGCCCAAAAGCAGAATCATTTTTTGAAAAACATATGTTTATAAGGATATTGGCTTAAAGGAATTCAAGTAAGATATCCAGAAAAAGATTCACTTGAGAATCTTCGTGGGATTTTGAAGTGAGTTAGATTCTTAGCAGCATCTTAGCTGAGCAGATGTAAGCTCAGGTATGTTGATGCTGAAGTACCATTAAGCAAGTTCAGAGACAGAATTTCCCAGGAAATATTAATGCATGAATCCACTTCAGATCAAAGTGCCTATGAGAGCAGTTCTAAGAGCTCAAGTCCTTTTGCAGTTCTAGTTGCATATATCCACCTACAGCTTTACATATATCAATACTTTAAAAACATTACCTTGATTTCGTATAAATAAAATAAATTCAGTCAACAGAAGAAGCAGATATGTGGAAAATCAGGATTTTTCACGGACTTTTCTTACATGCTACTTTTCTTACATACGTTTCTTCCCATTTATTTCTTAATTTCCACTCTTCCACAGATAAAAATTAATCAACTGTATAGAATAATTTCCAATCCCCTTTCCTGAGAAATCAACAATGAAAGAAATAAAGGTTATTGTAAAAACAAGTTTAGTCTTTTTTAGCTATTTATGAAACTAGACTTTTAAAAAATATAATGATGAAAGAGGTAGAGAGATGGCTGAAGACATTATGGAATCATGACTACATTAAGTCCTTTGTGACTCAGACTGGATTACCATTCCTTGGACTAAGCAAGTTGTTCAGAGACACCTCCCTGGAACATCTGAGACTCCATACCTAGAAAAGTGAGTGCAGGGACCAGGGGAAGTGGTGGAGATCTGGTGAACGATCCCTATTACTTGGCTCAAGGTTGTAGTTTGTTCTTTTACATGTATTGAGAATACTGTGCCTCAACTTGTCAAAATTGTTGTGTCTGGTTTTAGCTAGAGACTAACACTGTGACTAAGGCAGTATCTTGAGGTGCTTGAATTTTTCTTTAGCTAACAGCTTGCTTACCACAAAGAATAAAATATCAAGTCAGAGTTTTGGACTAGGTAGATTTTTTGGGGACCATGGTGCTTAGACTAGTGACTTTCACGAAAGTCTATGTTATTTTTTTTTTTATATTCTTGTATCTCTTATTTTAGTAGCATAAAATTTCAGTTTAACTTTTAAGGAGGAAGGCACTAGTAGAATCACATGTGCCTCACAGGATACAAAAAAATTCTTGATCAGCTATATTTTTTTTAAAATCCAGTTGATTGTTTAATTTTCTTCCAACATTTTTCTCACAGCAATTAGTACAGAATTGCTGCATTACAAAATGTATTTAATATATTGTTAAAAATAAATTAAAATCTGTCAACTAGAACCTCACTGCTAGCTTCTAGTAACAGATTTTGTCCCACTCTTTTTAAGATTGCATTTCAGATAGTAATTTGAGTGGCATTACCCTCTCACGAGAATACAGCAGTAAGATAACCTGGATAGTCAATGTACTTAGGTGTTAACACAAACATGAAAATATTGCCTCTATGTATTTAATACCAAAATTTCATGTTGACATGTTTGAATACATCTTTGCCAAGCAAATGTGCCAATATCAGAGGAGCTGCTGAGAAGACGTTTTAGCTGTTTCATATAAAATAACATTGACGCAACTTTTGCCTCAGAGACAGATATATCTGTGCACCCAATTAGTTCTCTGAGCTGGTATTAATTGCACATTGTGTTGACAGATTTGCCTTTTTCTCGAGAATGCAGATTTGATGTTTTTCCTCCTTTTGCTACACTGCCCAAAAAATAATCTGAATTCCTACATGCAATGAAGGGGTGACGCTCGTTCTCTACCACTTACCATGCTGCACAGACCTACATCTTACAGTAAAGGCCATTGTTTCATTGCAGCAACCGATATATTTTTAGGTTACACTGCAGTGCTTTGCTACACTATGGTCTTCTAGTTGTGGAGAGAGAGTTTTTGCACTTTATTCCTTCTTAATTTTCTAATGCGCTCATTATTTTGTTTACAGCCTGTCATTTTCACCTGGCCTTTGCAGAGTCCAAAGTGCAGTTTCTACAATACAGTTTGGGGTAGGAGGGCCTGGTAAGTCACCGACTGACAGAAAAAAGTAAAAAAACCCAAACCTCAAATCTCTGAAAAGGTGCACCCACTCCACAGACATATATATTGAGAATACCAACACCAGAGAAAGGGTTAAAAGTCTTGTTAAGAATTCAGGTCCTGTTTACTTTTTTAGTCAGATGGGAAGCAAAAAATAAATAAAAAAACTATAGAGGTAGAAAAAAAGAAAATAAAATGCTTTGGGTCTGGCTAAGTATGATAAAATGGTGTGCATCAAAGACACGGTCTGATTGGTGGTTGAACAATTATCAAGAGATAGATAAACTGCTGCCTGGCATTCTCAGCTTTGTAAACTTGAACACTTTTATACGTACCAGGCCCCAAAAGGGTCTGCCAGATGTCTTGATTGAAAATGTACTGCATAGAAGAAAATTTAAAGGGCAAGTCACTAAAATAAATCCCTGAATTAATCTCTAGTGTTTTCATCACAAATGCTGGAACTGCTTACTGTATTACAAAATAAAAAATTAACTTATTAGAAAAATGAAAAGATAATTTTGTAAGCCTTGCATATAAATATGGTGTTTGTCCCACACACAATTTTAATCCACAAAGATAAAAGTGCTTTAAGGCTGAATAAATAAGAAAGTGCTGTTTTAAATAGATAACATTATAGGTTTGAATACTGCAAAGTAATTAAAGGACATAATACCCCATTATAAAAGATCAATATGCACTTGAGACTAGGCCAGGATCTATTTCTGAAATTATATAGCTCACACTGATTTCTATCACATTTTCAGTATTGATCTGATGTGAAGCTTGTTGATTTGACTTCACAGTTTGTTGTTTGCAGATGTCTGAAGACTGCCTGTGCCTCCAGAGTTAAATTAAAGTCAAGGCTGTTTGCATGTCTACATAAACTGCTGTTAGCAGGTCTCAGTCACAGACTCTTCAGTAAACAAGCTGTGTATTCCTTTGAAATGATCAGTTCCAACTCTGTTTTGACAATTTCTTAGAAACTGATTTTCATGAGAAATTCTTTGATGGGAATGGTGAGTGCAAGAAGCACACAGCTATAATGTATTACTTTCTCTTACATGTTGTTTGTTCTTTTACGTATGAAGAAGCTCTTTAAAGTATTCTAATAAGAAAAAAGACAGTGAAATTTTGGCAATGATTCTTAATTTGCTTTACTACACTAGATATAGTTGATATCAGCAATATTTGAATAAAATATATGTATAAAAATAACTGAATTAAGGAAATGACAAGGAATCAGTGCAGCATTGCTTAGTAACAAGACAGCCTACAGAAAATGCCACTCTCATTTTTCTTAGTCTATTGAAATTAGAAACCCCAGAAAGACACCTGCATTTACACACAGGTTCCAAGATGTCTTTTTCATTTCACTCCATGAAATATGAGAAGAACAAGATCTTTGGACAGTGGCTGTTGGCACTTACAGACATTGGCAAGGTTAGAGGTTGGACCCCAAAGCCCCTCCCAATTCTCAAAGCTACTGCTGAGCTTCCACATAGCATTTCAAGTCCAGGTTCAGGTGACAGCAGTTAACTTTTATTTTAACACCAGAGAAAGTTTAAAGCTTTCTTCAAGATTTGACAAGGGAAGATTGATGATACCTAAATGTGCTTAGAGCATAGTGGGATTTATAATAGACAGAAGTTCTGTTAGTTATTTGTACTAAGCTTCTATATGCAACTTTGTTACATAAAAGAGGAATAGAAGAATAGAATATTTCTCTCTTCTCCCCATGTACCTGGCATTTCAAGGTTATATGTCAGTTTGAAAGACTTGGGTTCGAGTATGCATTTTTGTATTTGTGATCTTGTTATTGTCATTACCATGAGGTTAAGCTGTTTTGAAATGTCATCTACCATGCTTCTAAAGGGCTCTGGAACACTGGGTCAAACTCATTGGCTTCAGTGCTAATTGTAGTTTTTGTAGAGTTGAAATAATTACTTAAAAAACATACTCACACTCCTCTCAGAGGAAATGAGGTCTGTGTGGGAGGCAAGAAACAGGGGTAGGCTCTCACAGTCATGTTGAATATTGAATTTTTTGACACAGAGCAGAACAGCTTCATAAGAAGTGGCTGGAAGTAAGACTGCTCCTCCTCACTGAGTGCCTTCAGCCTGCTGGTTAGGACACCCCTATGGGAGGTGAGATGTGGGGTTTGGTGCCCTGGACTCCCACGTCCTATTAGAAGGTCTCTGATGCTCTGGTATGAAATTAAAGGATCACAGTAACAGATCCTCCTCCAGCTATCTCCTACAAAAAGCAGTGACTCATGTTACATTTAGAAGGAGAAGTGAAAGATACATTATACAGCAAGAAGATCTGGTGCACAGAAGTGCATCTCAGTAGCGCTGAGTTCACCATTCAGCAAAACCACTGCTTTTCTGGGTTTATCTGTAGGCTGGTTTAGGTAGTTTCCTACTGAGTAAACTGTTATATAGTTTTGGACCCTATGCTGAGCTGCCTAGTTTTCTTCAGACTGAGGGAAAGCCCTAATGTAGATTCTGTTTGCAGGATCAGAGACCTCCGTGCTTTTTTTTTACCTAAGGCTGTAATTCTTATATATTTTTAAAATTTCTGTATTTATTTTTCCACAAAGGAGTAATGGAAAGTCAAACTTAAAAAAAAAAATCCTTTTAAAAGGGATAATATCTTTTCCTACAAAGAATGACTCACTTCTTTGATAATACATATTTTATATACAGTTTATATACAGTACTTGTATTTTGTCCATTACCTGAGGCTTTCTTTTTATATTTCCATAAATTCTGCTTTTTGGTCTGAATCAGTGTTGCAAAAAATCCATCTAAAATCCTAGCAAAAAAAAAAAGCTGTTTCAAAGAGGGTAAACAATGTTTTGTAGTTTTGTTTGTTTTGTGAGTCTCTGTAGCTTAAGCTTACATTTGCCTTGACTTCCAGGTAAGTCTGATTTTAGTTTAGTTGTACTGATTTGCTTATTCTGCTAGTAAGATACACCTTTCCATGAAGGGGTAGCTTCTTAGATTAGGTAAATCAATGTAGTTCAATTAAGTTTAGTGTTATGATGATCTGCGCAAAATAAGAGTCTAGCCAAAAGCTGAGCTTATCCATTTTATTGCCTGGATTTTTTTTTTTTTTTAGTCTAAAAAGACTTAGTTATATTTTGTCTAGATTCCTAATTATGCAGTACAGCTGACAACCAGTGCTTCTAGTGCTGTCTAATCACTATATATTACAGACAGCAAAACAAAAGATTTGTAATTTACTCCTATGTCTCCCCGCATCTTAAATCTACAAGATTAAGTGCTTAAATGTTGCAATCTCTACAGTAGCTTAACATTCAAGGAGCATTTACTCAGTTAAATCATTTAAGTGGCTTAAAGGGGTTAATGAAAATACAAAAGAGCCTCAAGCTTCCTAAATAGAAGCTCGAGGGTGATTTTCATAAGCTAAGAAATACCAAATTCTAGACATTTCAGGAGGGTGGTAGAAAGGTCCTTTACCAGATCTATTTCACAGTAAAAGAAAAAAGTAAAGATTATCAACCTGTTTTAGCAGTTTGGATTTGTTTACTAACAAAAAATTCATCAAACGGTGGGGGCTTTTTTTCTGGGTAATAAATAAGATACACAGTATAAAATGTAATGCACAGAGACATTTTATTAAAATAAAATTTGGATTCTACTTATGTGGATTCATAATCAAGAATGATGTGACCACCACCCTATTTTAAAAAGCTAATTGAGGTGGTTATTCTTGGATTGTAAAAATACATACAAACTATTTTCTGATTTTCTGCAATATTATTTTGGAATCTTCCTATTTGCATATATTTCATAGAAGTTTTTCATAATAAGCAGCAGTTCAAGAAAATAAATTATTTCTAAACATTTATTAGACAAAGTGCTGCTGTTATTGCTTTTGCCAAAATTCACCAGATATACAGTAATATTCTTAATTTAAGGAATACAATAAGTCCTTTGGAGAACTGATATGTCTACAGTCTTTTATTTTTGGTGGGGGTCTTTTAAATTTCCTACATATTCTAACTAGATCAACTTAGTTTCTTGCTTATATTCTTTCCTCAGGTGAAGTTCCCTCATTTTGTAAACCTTATTAATGCTGTAGGCAGAAACCAAGAAGGCTACCCACCTGTAACTATTTTAAAAATACTTATGTGAACATTTGCCATTTCAGGGTCAGTTTGCATTCCAGATGAATGTCCAGATCTGCTTTTTTTATACTTACTGATTTATCCAGCCTCTCAATTACTACCTGCTTGGCATCCAAAGTCACATCTCATATCTTACCATTTGTGCGGATGTTGTATGTCATCACTTCACTCCAATAAACATCTGAGATCCCAGCTTCTTTCAATTCTTGCAACTGTGTAAACAAAAAAAGCAAAGGATAATCTTGGAGGAGGGAAAAAAAAATAAAGAGGAGAAATAAACCCTTTCACCTGTGAAACCTCAGTCTGTGCTGCTAGAAAGCAATAGGTTTTGCTTGGCTCCTATTCATTTCTTAACTTACATCCCAAAATTGTCATGCATAATTTGATCCAAATGTATTGCTTTAATTTCAGGAGGGAAAACACACAGCTCAACCAGAGGAAAAGAGTGAATCACCTGTAAGTTATTGAGAAGTCAGACTGCCTCCTGGGTCAAGGTTAGGGTAATTAGCTGGTCAGCCTGAACTGTGATTTGCCTGAGGAGAAACAAATGAGTTTGGTTTCCACATTTTCGGCATGACCCTTGTTACATTCTTCCTGAATCCAACAACCTCTTCCTTACACAACTGAAAAATAACTATTCAACTGCTAAAATACTAATATTTCTTTCAAAGACAGTAATGAATGTCAGCAGTCAGGTCCATCCATAAATGTTTCTAATTTCTTGCCGGTCTGTTACAGCATTCACACTTTTTACCGCTGACATTGCAGAACAAGTTAGCTGTAACTAGATTATGCATGCCTTTTATTTTTCAGTTCCCATAATTTTCTCAGTAAATACAGAAACCTGAGTTATTTGTTGCAGCATATTGCCCAAGCTTCTGTAATACAAGCACATTTATTTGTGATTCTTGTGTCTTTCTCAGCATTTTTTTTGCATTGTATTTTTAAGTGTTAGATATTTGTTTTGGCTTTATGTATGTGTAAAAATGCCTTATTTAGAAATTATAGACATTGAATCATTTAATTGCCTCTGGTAAAGACAACAGAATCTTCCAGCTGATCTCATTATTGTACTGTAGCTAGTGTCTAGAATGATCACACCAAAGGATTAAGTTCAGTCTAAGCAGTCAGTTCTACTTTGTGCACTAGACTGCTGGGAAAATTCAAATTAAGATTATTTCCACTCGTGATTCTTTAGTAAGAGTCTTCTTTGCATATACACATGTGCATGTATGTATACAAAACCTTTAAAGTTTGAGGAAGCAGTAAAAGAGAAGATTAAGATTGTACCTGTCTGGAGCTTGGCACAGATACTTTCCAGAGCTTCTTCCCAATCCAAATTATTCTGTAACTTTCAGATAGTAATGGATTCTGTTGACAAGTTTTGGCAAATATTTCTGTGATAACTTATGAATATCCCCACTGGATACATCTTCATGCATTAGAAATGGTAAAAAACTTTCATGTATTTAATGTTAATATTCTCACTAATAGAATATTTTCTTGTGCTATGCATTTTACAAACATATGCAAAGACAGCTTAAACTAATTTTGATTGCCTGTTTGTGGAACTAGAAACATGTAGGCTTTGGCTCACATGGCATTCCTCCCAGGGGAATGTAACTGTGACATTAAAGTATGAATAGGTAATATACAGCAACGTGTGGGATCGTCAACAGAGATGGACAGTGGAGAGCAAAAGTTATTGAATGAAATTGTTTGGATCATGTTTTCAGCCTAAACTAGATTAGCACAGAACTTGGTTGATGCAGCTTTTTGCCTACATATAAATGTGCAAAACAGAACTGACATTTATCAAAAGAAGAAAGTTTCCTAGGTCATGTTGAGTAGTAACCTATTATAGAAATTAAAAGAGTTTGAGAAACCCAGAATCCAACAGGTCTTGTTTTCCTCTACAATGAACCACACTGGTGGATCATTGCTACCACCTTGACTCCCAGATCTTATTTAATTGCACAGGGGCCAGGAGAGTATCCATAACACACTTGCAGGATTAACTTCTGTCAAAAAAAAGTAAATCCACAAAATTCATTTGTGCATGTGGGAAAAATGCTCTGTTTGGGGGGAAAGTTATTTAGACCTACTGTAGAGAAAGATTTCTGCTTTCCTATTAATCAAGCAGTACCCTAAAGCCAAGTCTAACCTTTCCAGATCATGCCCTGTGGTTACCACTGAATTGGCTGTTTATTTGCACAGTTCACATGATTAAGATACAGTACTATGAGCTACTTTGAACTTTTACAATGTGAGGAGCTTATATATCAGCAAATCTTTGTCATTTTCAGCCTGGTATAAATGTATCTTGTTTCTGTTTGCTTTCTTTTAGTAAACAATCTGTCCTTTTCCATTTCACATTTTCCTGCCAAAAAATATATCACAGTTGCTTGAATTAAGGCCTAGGCAGAACTGAAGGGTGAATGTCTTTGTTTCTCCTTGGGGAAAAACATGTGAACACACAAATACATATAAGCATACGCTATCAGCTACAGCCTGCGGCTTAGCAGCAGCCCGTTTATATTGCTTTAGGACAGACTTTCTGTAGAACATTTTTATGCAATTTTCTTATAGGAGACTCATGATAGAACAACATTTCTCTGTCTCCATGTGTAATCTTTAAATCATTCACAAAAAGCCTGAAAACTGTCCAACTTACTTGGCTTTAAATACTTTAATGCTGCCACTAAGTTTGGAGAAAGCAATTCTCAATTTGAAAGCAAATGAAGGAAAGCTAGTATGCTTACATTGTGATTATCAAAGCAAATTTAATACACATTTAGATTCCATGCCAGCCCATTCAGAACTATTTCAGCTTATTGGCAAATTTGCGTTAGACTACATTTAGACCTCATCAACAAGCCATTCAATATAAGCTTCAGTACTTAGCTCTAGAATAGGATGCACTAGGACAACATGATCTTAGTGATATTTATATGCCCCACAAAGTACACCAGGCACTTCAGAGATCAGGATTAATATGCAGTTTTATTCCTAAGGAATTTGGTGTCACAGAAAACCTATCTGATACAGAGATATCTTTCCTAAACCTTCTGCTTTTACAAGATGAAAAGAAAGTGTCTAAGCTGTTTCCTTCAGCTTACCACAATGCTGTGAAACAGAGCAATGTTTTCATGTCCAGATGGGATGGCCGTACCAATACAGCAACTGATTTATCTGCCAGTGTAATGTGGCTGTCTTGCCTCACGAGATCATAACTGATACAATTATCAGCCTAATGAGACAGATATTGTGCTCTACAGTGTATTTTCAAGGATTCTGTTATGGCATAAATACCACAACAAAGTGTTTGGGCTGTCACTGCTAGAGGGGGCAAAAGCAAGGCATCATGGATTAGCTAAATTTCAGGGCATTAGTGTAATTTGGGTGGTACAACTCCATGGGCAGGGTGTGAGAGCGATGATGTACTTTTCTGTAGTTACAAATGGATAAAATAACATTAAACATACGTATGTGTTCCATATGTGCCATTTAGATATACTATGATCATATGGTATCATCCCATGTTCACAAATAGAGTGTTTGTTGTAGGTTGGCCCCAGCTGGCAGCCCAGCTCCCCACCCTCTTTAGCTGCTTGCTTACTCCCTTCTCTTTGTTGGGATGGGGCAGAAAATAGAGGGAACAGAAGTGTGAAAATTCATGAGTCAAAATAAAGACAGAGAAATCACTCACCAAGCGATGTTATGGGAAAAACTTGGGGAATTCAACTGAATTTATTCCAACTAACATCACTGTATAATTACTGTTTGGGCACTGAGAAACTAAGAAACAAAAAAGACAAACACAAAAACACCAAAAAAAGCCTTTCCCCCTCTTTGCCAAACTCAATTTCACTTCCAGTACCACTTCACCTCAGATACCTTTTTATTCCGTGCTTTAGTCTTTCACTCCAATCGCCTCTTTCCTTGACTCAGCTCTCACTCAGTTCCTTCATTGCAGCAACAAGCACTGTTGGACTCATGACCGCAGTCTGCCACTCCTACCCTTTCACTTTTTTCTGCTCCAGTGAGGTTCTCTGTGGCTGCAGTCCCTGTGGGAGTATTTGTTTTGCCATGGAGCACCTCCTCCTCTGACCTTGGTGTTCCTTCTGCTTTTTCTCACTCTTTCTCCCCTCATCCTCTACCAGTCCAGTATTTCTTCCCTTTTTAAATATGTTTTCCAAGAGGTACCACCAGCTTGACTGACTGGCTCAGTGGTGTCCTGTGCTGGGTCGGCTGGAGCTGTCTGGCACTGTCTGTTTCCAGTTAGGGCAGCACCTGGGTTCTTCTCTCTGCAGCCGCCCCACTACAATCACCTTGATGACTACACTTGATACAGTCATAAATGACTTATTTGTTCTCCCTGAGTTTTTCTATGGCATTAAAATGTCTTTGCCAGTTGTATTAGGGAGGATTCAAGCATACTGAAATCTTGAAACCGTGACACCATTGCAAGCTCAACAAAACTGAAATTTATTACCAAGAGGTGGCCAACAAAACGAACAAACCCAAAAGGGAGGAAGGAAGAGAGAAATAAGCCCCCAGCACGACCTCCCCAGTTACCCAGCTGTTGCCCATAAAGTTATCTTACCGACCTAGCATGCCTATAATTACCCATAGCAGAAGCTGCATCCTTGGAGAGTCAGTAAGTTCACAAATTGGCAGGCAGCCCCACCAAAAGGCAACATTGTCCTTGATGTGAAGCTAGCTCACTTCCAAGGAAGAGCTATCTGCTTTTTATACAATTAACTGAGTGACTTCAACCTAGGCCCATGTGGCCGACACCGCCCAGCCAGAGGTTCTCAGTCCCACCCCCTGGTTATATAAGTGCATCTCTTCTGTGCACGCGTGGCTTTCCCTGCGCCTGCGTACTGCACTCAGGAGGGTCTTTTTCAAATGAGTCTGGGGGTTCCCTTCATCGTCATAGTCTTCAATTTCTCCTTCAAGTGACCTTGGAGAACAATTAGCCAATCACAGAACACCAATTAAATATAGTTTATGCAAGAACTCCCTTCAAGGACAAAGTACCCGTTTATCAGTGCTTGTTTTCTCATAACTTGGCAAGGAAAAAACGAAACTTTTACAGATGGCTGGGCCGAACACAGACCAAAAGTACCAGCCTAATTAACCCCTGATACACTGGTGCAAGGCTTTTTGTAGAGGAGGCAGGCAGGAATCTGAGGCCTGACACGAGCCAGCTGGGCAGATTTTTTTCTCACAGTGTAGAGGCAGGCATGAGGCAGGCTTTGACTTTGCCCAGACTTGGATACCTAGTCTTTCCCAAACTGACAAAAATCCCTTTCCTGAAGAAGTCCTTTTTTGCTGCCATAACTGTGCAGTTAAATGTTTGAAAAATGTTGTACATTTTTTTTATATGACGAGACTCTCCAGAGAATCAAGTGTGGACCACAGTGTGCTCTTAGGGTCTCTGTAAGAGGACATGATAAAGGCATTCAATAGGCAGGTATGCATGTCTCTCTACATTTCTAGGTGTTAC